TGGGAAGCAGATTCTCTAGAGCCTCCAGAAACACACCCCTTGATCTCAGCCCTATGGAACCCAGAGTAGAGAAATAACTAAGCCATGTTCTGTCCAGAGTCTGACCTACAGAGAATGAATGGATGTTGTGTTTAGTCATTAAATTTGCTAAGGTGGCAACTGGAAACCAAGACATCCTGTTAGAATCACCATACTTGAGGGAGGGTGAGTCCCATGTTTTATTTTGTTTTTTAATCCTGTGCTCAAGAACCTAGACTAGCACCTGACAACAACAGACAATAAGTACTTGCTGAATGAATATATACATTCTTTACCCTGAAATCTATATTTCACAAGATCTTAGGAAGTTTTTACCCCAAAACATTGAATAAAAATATTTAAAATGTGGTCTGTATGGCCGCAAGTTCACAATTGCTATCACTTCCATTTCCTAAAGTAGTGGTTTCCAAACAGCATGTTGTAACATATTGGCAGGTCATAAAACCAATTTATGGAGTTGAGAAGGAAATAAAATGTAAAAGTCAGAACTTCTAGTGTAGCGTGTACAAGGGTGTATGCTGGGTCTCAGTGTCAGATGTATTTTCTTACTGTAGGCGCGCACCATCACTATCATTTGAGAACCACAGCCCGATGTCACTCCCTGTGCTGTGGACCAGGGTAACATCTAGGGCCTGATTGGAGGTGAGATGGGTGGGGAATGCGTCTGTTAAGAAAAGGCTATTCAAGAAAGAACTACACTCTCCCACGCCTGTGATGAAATGTGCAAGGCAAGAGAAAGCACTGTGATTGAAGAATTCACACAAATTGCACCCCTGAAGGGGAGGAAATGAGTCCTTTTCCTCTGTGTTCCTTCACCTTGGGGGATTGGGGGATGGAAAAGCACCCCGGACACTGCTCAGGGCCACCAGCGGAGGGCAGTCACTGAGCCTTGGGACAACATCTGGCAGATGGCTTGAGGCTTTCATCCATGAAGCCTCCTAACATGCTATTTCTTTTCTTCTTTACGGGGAAAGGATTAAAAACCTAGTACTTATCTATCACCTGAAATTAGCGCTGGCTAATGTCATATAAATTTAGCAGGAAGGGAAGTTAGAAATGTCCTTGGCACATGGAACAAAAGAATAAATGTTGGTTAGAGGAACTTGAAATTGAATCTAGCTCAACATCCTCATTGGTTTTTGCAGATGAGGAAGCTGAACTAGAGGCTGATGCTGTCTCCGTTATTATAACAGTGTTGCTGTTGACTCATCTTTCCTAGGGAATCCTCAGTGGACTGTATATGCATAACAAAGAAGAGTGCTCCCTTCCACCAGTCACCCAGCCTCAAGGGCAAACTTCTGGGTAGCAGGAATCACGCCACACATCTTTTTGCTCTCTTTACTGCCTACTTCGGTTGGGAAATATTTATAATTAATACCTACAAAGCACTTAGCATAGTGCCAAGCACACCATGAGAGCTAAGTGAATGCTTTCATATTTACATTGGGCACAGGAAATTCCTGATATCATATTTGTGTCCTTCAAATCCATTTATGCTTGAAGGGGCATGAATCTGCCTAAGGTACTTTAAGTAAATATGTAAAGATGAAAGAATTCCAATTAGTTAGGAAACATTTTGGGTAATTTTTAAGTATATGAAAATAAACAGACTTAGGACTCATGATTCATAAAGATAATACTTCTACTGAAAATATAAACTCTCTATAGTAGTATAGTATGAAGTTAAGTTCATTTTCCCTTAGGTAAATGTCAGGCAGAAGAGTTGGGAGTCATACTGATGGCTGTAGATCCCAAAAGCATAATGTTACTTCCTTTAAGACATGTTCCACAGAGAAAGAATATCAAAACATTAAAAGAAGGGAATCACAATCTATTTTTTCTGAGGATTCCAACCACTGTTTTATCAAAGTTTTTTTTTCTGAAATCTTACAAGCTCTACACAGACTTTACCCCTGCTACTTTTATGTTGTATAATTAGCATAAAATTATGTGCTCTTTCACACTGAAAAGACTCTTCTTTTATTAATGACTTGTTGAAAAGTTCTTTGTTACTTATCTTTGAAAGTGAGCTTGAAATCAAAAGGTTTTCATGACTTCTTTAAGAGTTCTTAAAAGTAATACAATAGATGGTTATGGATGTCATGGGCAGTCATAAATTTTCACCCTTAAGGTGGGAAATAAGGTGTGGGAAACAAATCTTGCATCCTCCTTTCTCTCCAATTAGATGTTTGGGATTTTGAAGAACATGTATAAAAAATACTGATGTCCCAACAAGGGCTGTCTGTTCTTTGCCTTCTTCCCTTGTTAGAACAAATAGAAAAATGGGTCAGAACAATAAGCGTCCCAAACCTACCATAAAGGCAGAAGGATATAATAAGAAGTACAATGTAAGTTCTAAATTAGTCTTCATGAGGAACTCACCCAGCCCCTGATCTGTAGTCAGTTCTGGAAACTACCATGCATCTCTGCTGAGCCAAGCATGCCTCATTGCTGTTTTTGGCTGACTGCTTTTTTCTAACAGGAGGCTTATCCGAGCACTCCAGATTGGATATGGGCAATTATGAGGGATGGTGTATGTTATTGCAGATTTCAATCATTTCTCTAGTTATTTTGCTTGCAGTAATAATCCCACAAGACCAACATATCTTGCACAAGAAACTCCAATGGTTTTTGGCTGGGAGCAGCTCTTCAGTTATTCTGTAACCTATTCCTGCTTAACTTCTAGACTTTCCCATTTGCAGCTGGGACCTGCCAAATTGGGGTTTCAGGAGCTGAGTGGCTCCCCACAGCCATAGCTACCTTATTCAAGACTCACACATGGAAAATAATACCGATTAGTAAAATAATGATCAGATGTCTTCTCAGTAATATTGCTATTTATGTACAACAGAAAATACCTGTGTCCAGCACTTCCACTGTTGGCAAAGTAATATAATTATTTATCCTGATTGTACTCAAGAAGCTCCCTCTTTTAAGCCCTCTTGTTTTTTCTTATATGTGATAATATTTCCTTCTTAAGTAAAAATCACAGACTGTCAGAGTTGGAAGGAGTCTTAACAGTAATTTATTGCAAACCTAACTGTTGCACAAATCCTCTCTACAGTATCTTCAGTGAGGTCCTCCACTATTAACTGCTGTTCTCCAGGGCAAAAAAAGATGAAAGTAAAATAGGAAGTGGGATGACACTATATAACTAAAACCAACTGAAAGATCTAGATGTGGTCATTCCTACTCATGAGGTCTCAGTCTTGTTCTCTCACCCATCATGTTTAATTACGTTATGAAGAATTTGAAGCAGACTCAATTTAAAGTTTAGACCATTGAGAAGGTGGCTTAACAGGGAGAGAAGCAGCACTTCTCAAACAATATATTATGAGAATTTAAATCATGTGTCTTGACCTTGGCATTTCAATGATCTATTAAGTTAGATAACTTTTAAAGGTCTACCTCATGTGAAAAGAACTAAAGAAAATTTTCATTACTTACTTGAGAAGAAGTTAAATTATCTAGTACAAGCTACAGGTTGAAAGATTAGGTTCTAGAATGAGACTGTGTGGCTTGAACCCTGGCTTTGCCACTAATTAGCTGTATGACCTTGGGAAGTCACTTAACATTTTGAAGCTTTGGTTTACTCATCTGTAAAAATGCCATTACATTATCCTCCTCACTAGACCATTAAGAAGATTAAATGAACTAATTCACATGAAGCACTTTGTTCAGTATATAGCATACGTTTTAAGTATCCAATAAATGGTAGCTTCCTTATGTCCACTGAAGTAATAAAAACATAGTTGTAGAGAGAGCTCACTATTTTTTTAAAAAATTCATTTCATAATCTCAAATTTTCAATGAATTTCTGAGTACTATTTTGGACTAAATAGTATTGGAAAAAAGCATTTTTATGCTATCTGTAGCTTGTAAGGAAATTTTATATTGCCAGAATGTTTTTAACAAATCAATACGGATTATATCATGTGCTAACAGAATAATACAGTTATTCTACTGAACTGATCATATACTCCATGAATTTTGGAAAGGTGTCAGCATTTAGCCAACAAGTTAGTCATAAATAATTTAACAAAACATAAAGTTATTATATATGCTACTGTAAACTTGGCTGTTTCTATGTATGTCTTAGCATTCTTTGCACTGAAGATATTAACAAACTGAATTATATATCTGATGGGATTTTAAAATAATAATCTTGAGTATGTCCAGACAAGGATTTTTTTTAACAACTGCCATTATTAGAAGATATGGTAAATAAACCAGTCTAGTTACATTATACTTTTTACAAAACATCCTCGTATACCATTATTCATTTTTATCCCCAATTATCCAATTCTAATCTGTCTGCTTAGCAAAAAAGCAAAACAAGACAGGAACTTCATTTGCTAATTGTAAAAAGAATTTAAATTCTGCCAGCCCAGAATATCTATGGAGCTAACTAGAAATCAAAGAATAAATAAAGCTAACTATTTTTAACTTCTCTCCCATCCCCCAGAAGTCAGTCATTGTAAGCTGAAACACATCACTCTCTGAAGATGATTCTTTTCATACTGACCTTGAGATCTGGAAATTCTTGATAAAGAGTTTTCTAATGGTTAAGTTTGTAATCATTGTAATGAGTTATGATCCAGAAATCAGGGAGCTCAAAATAATTACTTGGAGAAAAATGAAAGAATCTTAGTTGGGAAATATTGAGTCATATATAATTTTTTTTTCAAAATATATTCAGATTAGTGTCTATCAAAGAATAGGGATTGGGGTTGCCTTCCTGACATTTAACAATCCATCCCTGGGCTTCACATTTCAGTTACTATTTCATGAAGGGACAATAAGCATTTACATATTAGATAACAAGACAGTTGATGGCAGTCTACAGATGTTATTCTGAGTGAAATGAAAACTAAACTCTCATTGTATAACCATCACTTGAAGGTGTCATAACACATGCCCCAGGCTGCATTAACTCAGAGACATTTCACTTGCCCACTTACCCTAGTTGTTTTCACTTTATTCCCAGAAGAACAGCTCCATCCTTTCCGATCTGGAAGAACTTTACATTCTTCTCCCTCAAGACATGGCTGCATGTGGCACCACCACTTCTGTTCTACTATTGAAGCTACAAGAAGCAGAAAAATCAATTCAATATTTTCTACTTGGCCTGTTATTTCTCTGGGTGCACATTTAAAGAGGAACAAAAGCCACCAATTTTTCCCGCTACTACCAGGCGGACTTGGTTTTGAAGCAGGCTTCTCTTTTTGTCCAAAGGGGAGTAATCTAGTTTCTGACTAAAATGATTTTTCTAATGTTTATTTTTGTAATAAAACCTAATATGAGATCTACCCTCAACAAATGTTTAGATGTACAATACTGTATTATTAATGACAGACATATTTTTGAAGGATTTTTCATGTAAATATAGGCTTCAGAAAAATTAATATATTGGAAAGAAACTGTGTGATCCCATGTGTTCTTTGATAAAATGAGCCCATGACCAGTTGAGAGTCAATATTAGAATCAATGTAAGATTTCCCACAAGGAGGCTAAAATCAAGAGGGCATTAGAGTTAGTATAACATATATATTATTTTTACTGTGGGCAGTATGAGCTCGTAACAAACTATTATATATGGTAACACCAGTTAAACAGACCCACATAAATATTACATCTTTAATGTAATTAGGTGAACCCTCCAGCAAAGAAATTAATATTTCAATTAATATTCACAGTAAAAATATTTTCTGTGAACTTATCCACAGCTAAACATTCACTCACGTATGGTTATTTTTCATTCTTAAGAAGATGCGTGGATTTAGGTACCCATATTATTTAGTCAGCATCTGTTTTCACCTTTCCTTTCCCAGTTAATTCATGTGCTCACACCTACCCCCACTGGCAAGTCGATATTCCATGATATCAAAGTCAGAAACACATTGACTTGCTGCAATGTCATTACAGTGCCTTTTATGACAAAACTGCAAGAGACCCTAGACTTCCTTCCAGATGATTTTAGATTTCAAAATACCCTCCAACTAACCTATCAACCACATGATTTATAGCGTGGTTCCCCGGGACTGACCCCAATCCACAACATTATAGTGGGGCTCCAGCTCTAAGCAGTCCCCAGCTACCCCATCACAATGAGCAACGGAAGACGTCGCACCGTCCACACAAGATGGAGCTGCTCGCGTTGTGCCGGCCACCTGCCCGGGGAAGCAGGAGCACTTGACTGTCTGTGATCGTTCTTCTATCTTGTTCTTATTACAGCATCTGTGGAGCGCCACCACCTCGCAAGTGCCCGTTTTAACATGGTGAGCTGCACAAACAGAAACAAAAGATGGAACAACACTGAGAAAGCTTTGGATACCTCCTCCTCTTTTTAATTAGAATACATTAAATAGCGCTCTATAAGGGATCCACCATGCATGAAACTAGAAATACAATGATGTTGACTCCATAATGCAGATTTGATTTCTTTTCTAAATGTGGTAGGACCGTGTCTGTCAGTAAGTGCTTGGTGAAGCAGGAACAATTAGTGACTAGATTAGAATGAGCTGTTAGGTCGGTCTGAAATATAGAGGCAATATGTGGTATCATCAAAAACATATTTGCATATGACTTTTACACTTTTTTGTTAATCAAAGTAAGGTAAACCACTGGACCAAGGGCCCTGCAGTGGGGCTGACACCAGCCCTGTTATCAAAGTAGATAGGAGTTGATACAGGTTATGTTCTTCTGGGGGTAACTGTAAGGGAACCCCTTTTAGGAAGCAAGGAGGCAGAGGGTGGGAACCGACTCCTCAGTATTCTCTCCCATTTCCCTGGTAATGGACCAATTGGGTGACTATTGAAATAGTCCTATTTTACTGAAAGTCCCAGCCAATCTCAATACCCAAAAATCATTCCTTTCAATTTTGCCTGAGGGAAAAATCGCCACCAAATGGCAAAAACTTCAGCCAGAACTTGAACAGATTCATATCTAACCCAGAAGCACAGTCTAATAAGCTACAGAGCTTCCCCTGCCCATTTCATTAACATCACAAAAAGACTACTGAACCATTAGGGCAAATGAATTTTTGGACCTCGCTATCACATTACAAGAGGGTTTGAGTTTGCTTTCATTGTTATTTACTTCTTCAGCATTTCTTCTTCACAGTATTAACCCTAATTCCCAGTTAATTCATGTGCTCACACCTACCCCCACTGGCAAGTCGATATTCCATGATATCAAAGTCAGAAACACATTGACTTGCTGCAATGTCATTACAGTGCCTTTTATGACAAAACTGCAAGAGACCCTAGACTTCCTTCCAGATGATTTTAGATTTCAAAATACCCTCCAACTAACCTATCAACCACATGATTTATAGCGTGGTTCCCCGGGACTGACCCCAATCCACAACATTATAGTGGGGCTCCAGCTCTAAGCAGTCCCCAGCTACCCCATCACAATGAGCAACGGAAGACGTCGCACCGTCCACACAAGATGGAGCTGCTCGCGTTGTGCCGGCCACCTGCCCGGGGAAGCAGGAGCACTTGACTGTCTGTGATCGTTCTTCTATCTTGTTCTTATTACAGCATCTGTGGAGCGCCACCACCTCGCAAGTGCCCGTTTTAACATGGTGAGCTGCACAAACAGAAACAAAAGATGGAACAACACTGAGAAAGCTTTGGATACCTCCTCCTCTTTTTAATTAGAATACATTAAATAGCGCTCTATAAGGGATCCACCATGCATGAAACTAGAAATACAATGATGTTGACTCCATAATGCAGATTTGATTTCTTTTCTAAATGTGGTAGGACCGTGTCTGTCAGTAAGTGCTTGGTGAAGCAGGAACAATTAGTGACTAGATTAGAATGAGCTGTTAGGTCGGTCTGAAATATAGAGGCAATATGTGGTATCATCAAAAACATATTTGCATATGACTTTTACACTTTTTTGTTAATCAAAGTAAGGTAAACCACTGGACCAAGGGCCCTGCAGTGGGGCTGACACCAGCCCTGTTATCAAAGTAGATAGGAGTTGATACAGGTTATGTTCTTCTGGGGGTAACTGTAAGGGAACCCCTTTTAGGAAGCAAGGAGGCAGAGGGTGGGAACCGACTCCTCAGTATTCTCTCCCATTTCCCTGGTAATGGACCAATTGGGTGACTATTGAAATAGTCCTATTTTACTGAAAGTCCCAGCCAATCTCAATACCCAAAAATCATTCCTTTCAATTTTGCCTGAGGGAAAAATCGCCACCAAATGGCAAAAACTTCAGCCAGAACTTGAACAGATTCATATCTAACCCAGAAGCACAGTCTAATAAGCTACAGAGCTTCCCCTGCCCATTTCATTAACATCACAAAAAGACTACTGAACCATTAGGGCAAATGAATTTTTGGACCTCGCTATCACATTACAAGAGGGTTTGAGTTTGCTTTCATTGTTATTTACTTCTTCAGCATTTCTTCTTCACAGTATTAACCCTACTGCAAAATGATAAAGGAAAATGTTTCACCTGCTAAAAATAAAAATAGCTTAAAATTAACATTTGTTGAAAGCTGTGCTTTCAAAAATTTAAAATATATATGTAATTGATATAAAAGCAGAGATTTAAATAGAAGAGTACATGTGATGTTAATATTATAAACATATTAAGACACATTTTGTAAATGAGATGAGTACCTCATACATTAACATTCATCTCTGCCTCAGAGATGAACCGCTGTGCAGTAACTCAGATTAGAGCTTGCTTAGCTTTTTCTCTCACTCATATTGTCCACCTCATCCCTCCATGAGAGACCAAGGAACTCAGGTGTGACATGCAGCTTAACATGCAGTCCACAAAAGAACTTTCAAGGAGCAGATACAGTTAGCAGTATTACAGAGGTTTTTCTGCCACTGTAGTTACAAAAGGGAATTCCTCTGTGTTTGATGTAAATAAAAGCCAATCTCGACAAAAGCTGAAAACTTTCTTGGCTGAGGATTATTTCCATTTGATTTATGCTATGCAAGTCAACATACCATTTTCTATACTTTTTCTCTGAGTCAGTAGCCTATACCAGGTATGGTTCTGAGTACTGGAGATGCAACAAGGGACATAGACCCTGTGCTCATGAAACTCATAGTCCCACATAGAGAAAAATAATAACTACCTGTCAGTGATAAAGCAAGACAATAATAGATTTTTAAACTATTTGAAGAAAGTGCCAAAGAATGATGTAATTGGGAGTAATCAAGTGGAGAGGGGATGTATATTTTTCTGAGAGTGCCAGGGAAAAGGAAGCACATTTGGGAGACCTAAGAAAGGTAGAGTGTTTCAGAGAAGAGGCTGCAAGTGACAGGATGCTAAAAGGGGGAAATGCATGGTCTGCCCCCAGGATGGTGCGCTGACCGTGTGGCTGAACAACTGAATGGCAGAGGGAAATGTTTGCTAACATTACATTAGCGAAATGTGTCCAAAACAGGAGGATTGTGTAGGGGCTGGTGTGCTACCATAAGGAGACTGGGTTTTCTTCTCACTGCAAGGGAAAGCCTTTGGGTGGAAAGGTATCTTCTCAATGCTTTAGTTCCCTCTGGCTGCTCTTTCTAGAGAATGGGCTGAGGAAAGCTAGAGTGGAAGCAGGGGAACAGCAGTCCCTCTGGGCTCTCTCTAGAGTGGAACGAAGGGGTTGCAGCAGTCCACATGATAAAGGATGGTGCTTGCCTAGACTAGCAGCAGCCGCTGGGGAGAAGTGGCAGAATAGTATTTCAGTGTAGAGTTGGTTTGACATGCTAATGGGTTGAATGTGAGCTGTGAGGGAAAGAAATGAAAGATTTCTCCTAAGCTTGTCCTGAGCAATTAGGTAGTGTGTTCTGTTAGACAGAGAAAAGCTGGGAAAAGGCAGTTTGGCAAATGATGGGTTGGGTTAGAATATCTGTAGTTCTGTTTTGCCTGTGTTAAGTTTAAGATTCTTGCAAGACACCCAAGTAGAGAAGTAAATTAGACAGCAACATTTATGGAAGCTTAGGAAAAAGATCTGGGCTGCAGATAGAGCATACTTAAGAGACCTAGGCTGATAGGTGATATTTAAAGCCATAGGCTGACCCCCACTTACCACAGAAAGGTTGCCAATAGAGAAGAAGGACGAATAGTCCAAAATTTTAATCTGGGATGGGGGAGATGGCAAGAAAGACTGAGAATAACACATGAGGTAAGGGAGAAAGAATATAAGACAAAGGCTTGGAGAGCTGAAGAACAAAATGATTTTAAGGAGGAAAACTTTTCATCTTATGTCAAATGCTGCTGAAAGTTGCAATAAAGAAGAGAAGTAATTGTCCATTAAAAAAGTAATATGATGTAGTGGTTAAGGAAAGCCAGAGTAGATGGATTCAAACCTAAGGTCCTTCCAACACTAAACACTATATGACCTTGGGCAAGTCTAGTATCTGTGAGTAGCATTTTTTTTTTCATATCTAAAAGAGTGGTATAAATAACACTTTCTGCATAGGGCTGGTTTGAGGATTAAACAAGTTAAAATGTATAACATATTTAGAACGCTGCCTGTCTCATAGTAGGCACTCTGTAAATGTTAGCTATTGTTAGCATTTGATCTTGGTAAAAGTCACTTCGGTATGATGAAAATAAAAGCATGATAAAAATAAGTTTATAAGAGAATGGGATGTAAAATTGTATGGACAATTATAAAAAAATGTATTTCCAGGAGTTTTGCTGTGAAGGGAAGAAGGAAATGGAGCAATAGGTGGAATGAAGGGAAATTTTTTAAATGGATGCCATAAAAGCATGCTTCCCGGGAGTGATGTGGTAGAGAAAGAAATTGACAGTATAGGAGAGAAAAATGGGTAATTAAAAACATTCTCAAGAAGGAAAACAGCATTGAAATTCAGGGCAACTGGGAATTGGCATTAGATTGATGGGGGGACACCTAATCCCTTTTTATAAGAATGAAGGGGGGATGTGTTGATACAGGTGTGTGTGGGTGTGAGTGGATTAGGTGGTGAGAGGATAAGATAGTTTCTTGTGTGATTTCATCTTATTGCTATGAAACATGAGATGTTTGGGAAGAAAAAAGAAGACATGAAATGGATACCTCAGGGAGGAAAAGCAAGTTTAGTGGGAAGGAGTAGTGGGACAGTGCTGTAGGGAGGTGAGGCACAGTGTGGACGGCAGAGGACACAGTGGGGGAGGGAGGGCCGATGCTGCAGCCCAGATGGAGATGGATGTCTCCGTGATGACCGACTGCTTGGAACCCTGGACGTCTGAGAATGATTCAGGGAAACAGATGTGGGTCCTGATGAGATTAGTCCCTCAAGTCTCTGAATGTCAGTCCTGCCAGGTTAGAGATGAGAAATCACTAGGGCTTCTTCAGACAGTGACAGTGTTGGGCAGAGCTCTGAGCCCAGACAGCTTCAGGAGAGCTGGATGGTGGCTCAGGCTGTTTTCCACGGCTCTATGGCAGCCAGGCACACACAGTGAGGTTCCACTGACCTCTCCCCCAAGAAAAGAGGCATCATTTCAGCGCCCACTAAGCCCACTTTACCATCTGTTATAAGGAGATCTTATCATACATTGGAAAAGAATGGACAGTTGAAAACTGCATCTGGCTTCCCCTCCTCAATGCTAGCCAATATCACAATTCATTTCTACTCCACTTACAAGAAAAATAAGAGGATAGTTGTGGTAGCTATTAGTATTGTTCATCAAATATCTCTGGTTCTCTCCCTTCTGGACACATGGCAACATTATTTCTCCACTGTATTAAATTAATTGCTTTGGACAACAAAATGAAAGCTAGCATAATATAATCGGTTATAAGCAAAAGTGAAAGATACCAGTCCTCGTGCATGCTTTAAGGGCTAGTGTATAATTCACCGCATTTCTCCCCACCGATCAGAGCAACCAATTATGTTGACTGTGTGAACTGTATCAACCTGAGTCCCCAAGTGATATGACATGAAATAAACCTTAAGTTTTTACAAACCTCTTAAATTTTGAAGCTGTGAGTTACTGCCACAAAACGTGGCCCATCCTCACTACCCAGTAGACTTGCTGCGTCTCCCTAGATTGTTCAGGAGGATGTATTTTTCCAAACGTGTCAGTGGGAGGATAAGTCAGTAAAGCATGATGCCTCAAAACATGGGCCATTCCAGGTTATTTGAGTCATTGCAGGATGGATGTGGACAAGAAAGAAACTGTTGTTTATAAATTTATATAATTCAAAGGATTATAAAAAATTACTCTACAATTGGGCAATTACAGTGGCTAAGTGCGGCATGTCAGAGCTCCGGTGAAGAAAGCGTGCTTCTTTCTTCGAGGAGGAAGGAGGTGAAAGGATGCCCATAATGTATATGAAGAGAAGGAAATGCAGAAGCTGCCCTGGGAGGACAGAGAGCCAGGCCTCCTTCAGGGAACATGGTACTAAGTGTTGAGAGTGAGAGTAAAGGTGGCCAGGAAAAGCCAGCTGGGCTGACCATGCCTTCTCTGCCCTGACCTGCCCCTGCATTGTCTGTGAATACAGTGCACAGTCCACACAGGCTGAGTTTCCTGGGGGGAAGGGGCTTTGTAAAAGTCTCTCCATGCCTTTGCTTTTCTTACTGAAACTGAAGGTGTAAAGCTTTTTGTAGGGAAATGGGAGAGGG